GGTGCCTCGGCCATCTTTACCTGCGGTCTTGGCTTCCTGGTTTCCTTCCAGACTCAGCTCAGGCAGCACCTTCTGCAGGAGGCTTTCCTTGGCCTGCCTGACTGAGAAGGCTTTCCTGTCCAAGGCCACCTTGTGTCTGCTTTGTATATATCCTCTACAAAGACGTACGTGTCCCAACCCTCAGAACAACGTAAGCTCTGAGTGTTCATGTGCAGTCATTGTTCAGTCACGTCCAACTCTTCGTGACCCCATTCGGGGTTTTCTTGGCAGAGACACTGGAGTGCTTTGCCATTTCCCTCTCCAGCTCCTTTTACACATGAGGAAGCTGAGGCTAACAGGGTGAAGTGACTTGCCCAGGGTCACCCAGCTACTGAGTGTATGAGGCCAGATTTGGACTCAGGGAGGTAGGTGAGTCTTCTTGACCCCAGGCCTGGTGCTCTAACCACTGCACCACCTAGCTCTTTGAGGACTATGTGTCCCTCGCACAGCACCAGGGATCGAGGAGGCACTTCTTTGGCCCTGGCCTGTCCTCTCTCTGTGCTTTCCTGGGTACCCCGGAGAGCTCGGGGGCCAGGGCCTATGTGTAGCCTTGGTGCACAGCCCAGCACCTGCCCCAGGCCAGTGGATGAGAGGAAGAGAGGCCCACCATGTTGCTTTTCAGGTAAAGCGCTCCAGGAACGGACCGTGAGGCCCAACCATCAGAAGTGACAGGAACGACTGTTCTCCGGCCTCCTCTTGGGCCCTGGTTCCCATGACAAGCTTAGGCAAGCAGAGGCGCAGGACTGACCGCTGCCAGCAGGACGAGGCCGCTGCACCGGTCCCCCCACGGCCTAATGGAGTGCCTGGGCTCAATGCACATCCTCACCCGCTTTTCTGCACCTGACCCTCCCTGGCCTCCATCCACCTTCAGATCTGCACCAGGGCCAGTCAGCCAGTCAGTGAGCATTTAGGAAGCCCCTACTATGTGCCAGGCACTGTGCTAAAGATGGGGGATACAAAGAAGGGCAAGAGACAGTCCCTGCCCTCAAGGAGCTCCCAGTCTAACGGAGGAGACAACGTGCAGACCCCTGGGGAGCAACAAGCCATGGACAGAAGAAACTGGGGGCTGGTCTCAGAGGGAGAGCACCAAGGTTAAGGAATCCTGGGAAACACAACACCCAGTGTGTGAGCTGCTGGGGGGCTTCAAAGAAGGCCCTTCATTTAGACAGGAGAAAACTGAGGCCCAGAAAGGATAAGGGCCTTGTCCAAGGTCACACAGACACTAAGTGCCTGAACTGAGATTTAAATGCTATTACATCCAACTCAACCCAAGTGCTGGCTATGGGCACGATCCTGGGCCAGGGCCGGGAGTCAGTCCCTCCTGACTCCACACTCAGCGCTCTCTCCCCTAATCAGACCACACTCAAGGAAGGGCCCACAGAAACCACCTAGCCCACAACAACTCTGACCAACACGATGGTCAGCCAGCACTCCAGAGGCCTCGTCAGGAAACGTGCTGCCTGATGGACCCGGCGCACACGGAGGCACAAGTATGTGGGGAGGGGGAATGGGGCTGATGTGGGAATTCGGTTTGCTTTCTGACTATTCATGCCCGTACCAGGTTTTGTTTTTCTTGCTTTCTCTATGGAGGCAGGGGGAGATTGGAGAAAGAATCAGAGGATGAAAATAAAACTGAATTAAAAAATTTTTAAATAAAAATATTTCTTTCTTAAAAATAAAAGAATTCACCTACACTCTTCATTTTGCAAATGAGGAAAGTAGAGTTCAGAAAGCGGCTTGGCCCGGATCACAGAACTACTGGGCAGCAGGACCAAGATTCTGACTCCAAACGAGCACCGCTGGAAGGAGCCCGAGACACAGGCAGCCACTAAGCGGGAGAGCCAAGGCACCCAGCGAACACGAGCCAGCAGGGGCCCGAGAGGGGAGGGGGCCGCACACTGGCCAGCGACACACAGCGAGTTAAGGGGGGGCAGCAGCCAGAGGCCCCCAAGGCCAGGGCTCTCCCTTCCCACTGCACAGAGTGGAGCGGGGACTATGTGGAGGTCACCCAGGCCCCCAGCAGCCGGACATGTACACGGCCTCTAAAGACTGCCTATTCCAAAGGGTAAGTGATCTGCCCAACGCTGAGCACCCATCAGTGGCAGCACGGCCCTCCCAGAAGGAAAGGGGCCACAGAATCCTCAAACTCAAGACCTGCTTGGCAGAAGAAGAAAAACTCAGAGAGCAGCGGCCTCGGGGCCATCTAGTTGGTCCATTCCACTCATTTCACAAATGAAGAAACTGAGGCCCAAAGAACTAAGCTGATTCGCCCGAGGTCTCACGGCCAGGAAGCAGCCACATCCACCCTACCGCACCACCAGTCAGTCAGTCAACAAAGTGCTGACCTACTACGAGCCAGGGGCTGGGCTAGACTGCGGCCAGATTCCTAATCCAGACCAGGTTTTAGAAACCTCCGTTTTCCGCTCCCATTTTACTGAGGGAAGGTGTGGGACTCCGGTGAAAGCACACAGGTGGAAGACAGGACGTCAGGGCTAAAAGGGATCTCAGTGCAAAGAGCTGGGAGGAGGAAACTGAGGCAGCGCAGAGAGGCAATGGCATGGACTGGCCCAAGGTCACACCCTCTGCCAGGATTCTAACCCAGGTCTACGCTTTACACAGAATGCCAGACCCGAAACTAGTGAACAAATCAGTCAACCCTCCATGTCACAGATGGGTAAACCGAGGCAGCGCAGAGAGGTTCCAGCCTCACCCAAGATCACACAGCTCATGGGGGGAGGGGCTGTCAGGTCTCTGAGGGGACCCCCCCACAGAGCTTCAGGCCAACCCCACATGTAACAGATGGGTAAACTGAGGCAGCGCAGGGCGGTTCCAGCCTTACCCAAGATCACACAGCTCACGGGGGGAGGGGCTGTCAGGTCTCTGAGGGGACCCCCCTAGAGCTTCAGGCCAACCCCACATGTAACAGATGGGTAAACTGAGGCAGCGCAGGGCGGTTCCAGCCTCACCCAAGATCACACAGCTCACGGAGGGAGGGGCTGTCAGGTCTCTGAGGGGACCCCCCCCCAGAGCTTCAGGCCAACCCTCCATGTCACAGATGGGTAAACTGAGGCAGCGCAGAGAGGTTCCAGCCTCACCCA